CAATCGGGGTTAAAAACTACCATAGGCGGCATGCTCCTCGCAGCCAAATACTGATTAAGGTCATTTTAGACCAGTGACATGCAATGACCTTCACGAAGTCAGGACAATAAAGTTTCGACGTGCTTGTGTTCCAGAAAGTTGAGATAAGCGTTAGAAAGTATACCTTACGGCAAGTTTCCCAGTAAAAATTGGTTTGGTTTTGACCTTGCTCTGACAATCAGACCCACCAAGTATCAATAGAATGGTCGTGCTCGTGATTTCAACTGTAATTTGCCTCGGAAATCATCTTGAAGTTGTGTGACTTCATTCAGCACTCCGCTGGCACTCATATCAGAAAATTCCTCAGGATTGCCTTCGCGACCATATGACTTAACTTTGACCCCCGCTATAAGTGAATTTCTATTTAAATTCCATTGTACTGTTGTATGCTATCTACAGACAGTACTGTTGAACGTTCTGTTGTTCTGCGGTACGTAATATTTGCATTTAAGTTTGGCCAATGTAACACGGACAAATCAGTTAAAATGTGTCGATAAGATAGTTTATATGGAGTGGTGCCGTCAATATCTCACGTTCCTATGCTGGCACGCTTCGAAAAAATTTGTGGTCCACAAGAATAATCAGTTTTAAAATTTCAATCTCTTTGATTGCCAAAATAATAAATTTTGCGAATAGCAGCCCTGTTCATTACTGAAGCCCGATTTGCAGATTTGGGTACTTGAATCCGCCACTTGCAGTCTAATAACACCATGGCGATAATGTTAACATGCCCGTTGAACTCTTGGAACAGATTTTAGTGATCCTGTACTATTTGCCCTCTATCTTAGCCGGATATTTGCCAGCCGGTGTTTTACGTATGCGTCTCATATGTATGTACGTGTGTTTTAATGTTGCAGCACATTCAAATGTAACATGCATTCTACCAAACAGATAAAATAGGCGTTTGGCTATTGTTGTGCTATGTCATGTCTTAAAAGGTTCCAATGTGCAGAAAGGCCATTCCTTCGATAAAAGGCATTTTCATCGTGCAACCTATTTAACACGTGTGCTCAAGTCCCAGTGGCCTGTAGGAGCTCTCGCTTAACTGTGGCAGCAAAGCATGAGTGGTTAAGAGCACTCACGTAATGTGGCAAGAGCTGGTAGTCGACCAGAGCCCGATAAATAAGCTGCCGTTTGCCAATGTTCTGACGCATCGAAGACAGACTGACGTGCGTCCTCCTGTCGTGCTAATGCGCTGAGTATATTTGCCAGTGCTGATTGTTGTTCCGTTGTGATTATCTTGTGAAGATGGTTTCTCAGGTCGGAAATATGATCGATCTTTTGGCGGCCTGACATTAATATGGCAAACAAAATTAGAACTGAAAGGACCTGTTTCAAGTTTGACTGGTTTGCGCTGTCGCACACAGATATGCAGTAGCGAAGTATAGAGAGGACCAAACTCTGCACTATTGTGTCTATGTGTTGCCTAGGAAGACTGTGCCTTACATGAGACAGGGCCACAAGCCACCCATTGCAGTGTACTTTCATGCTGGCAATCAGAAGATTGCGTGCGTCGAGAAGATGAGCGATCGGTCGAAGGTCAACCCAAGGTTAAATGCCGTGCCACTCTCCTCAATCACGCCGTCTTCGACGTGGATTGAGACCAGCGGCGAGAGCTGCACTCATTGCTGAGTACTGATGACGATAAGCTGGGTTTTGTTAGCATTCAGCTGCATGGCATGTTCCCCAAACCATCGGTACAGTGTGGAATCTGTTCCTTCCATTTTCGCTGTGAGTGCAGTCGTTCGTAGCTTTTTACCACTCACGATCATTTACGCATCGTCCGCGCACTGGACAACATGGACACCGTCTCACACATAAGGCTGATGGCAGTTGAAGAAAAACATCGGGTAACAACGGGCCGAGGGCGTTGCCCTGGTACACCCCTATCTGATTTTCAAGCGGATTTTAAAGGTCCTGGCTGTTTACAGATGAATGCTATTTGCTGCCTTTGGTTGCGAAGACAGTCTTAAACCAGTGAGGGTCAACACCATAAAGAAACGGCTTTTGAAAAGCCTAATCATGACTCACGACATCAAAACCTTTGGGTAAATCCAACAGCACAAGCAGTGATAATTCTGCCCCATCCATGGCACGCAGAACAAATCACTTTCGGCCGTCAATGCCGTTTGGTTGAGTGATGTTACGAAATGCGTGTTTTGACTGGGCGAACAGGTGGCGGGTAATATGGCGTGGTGTGACATGGTGGGCGGGTATATATATAGCAGCGCACTCACCAGCAGAGAACATCCCACCTGTATAAACAAGTTATGTGTGTTTGCGACGTCAGGTCAAGTCCTGACAGTTGAGGAAAATGGATTAAGCAATCAAAGTTTACACTTTGGGCCAAAATTTACGCGAAGTTTGGGAGGTTTGGGTTCTAAGAAGCTCCAAAGGTCTCTAAGAAACTTCCAAGACCCAGGTCGCCATGGTCGTAGTAACCGGTGCGGTCAAAGCGCCATCCTTCACTTCTTGTGTGGTGGGCAGCAATGTTAACTGCCCCCCCCCCCCCCACCCACCCATTTTCAGATTTAAGTTCCATTTAGATTACTTTTGTACTACTTTAACAAGCATACCGATTTACTCAGTACACGAGCCATCTCCCTGGACCGCGTTAGACAAAGACGTTTCTTGTGCTGACAACTGCTGCTGCTGACAACGGCGATCAGACAGCCATGAAATTGCGGGAGGCATTTTGTGAACGGTTCTGATCTCAGGGAGAGGGGTTCACTAGGTGCGCTCGTCGAGCAGGGGTGTACCAGTGGAGTACCATGCACCATGAGTACCATGCAGCGTGTACAATGTGTTTATCTTGGTGTCATGATTCGGCGCCCTGTGTGAACAAGTAGGCTGCAACAAACGGCGAAGTTTGCTAGCCCCATGCTAGAAAAGTTTTAAATAAGAAGATTGTCGCCTTCCACTATTGAGTGCTGCTTGTGTTGAGCCGTGAAATGCTTGTCAGTGTTTTTCAGAAATGCACGAGTCCTTCTTTTTTATTTCAGCCTAAACGGCTTGCGAAGAGAACTGCTTGAGACTACCACTTAACGCGTCTCGTCGAACAATCTTGCCTACAGCCGTCCGTTGGAACGTTTCACGCGCCATTAAGGCATTGACACGGCAACGCCGTTTAATCGTAAAGACCCTGTCGCTCCCCGTTAGCGGGCACCTGCCAGGTCAAACGAACCAGCCGCTTCACCGACCTAACCCTAGGTGCCTGTCATATGCTGGAGTGGTGAGTCTGAACCACTCGGGCACGCCTGCGGGAACCAGCGTCAGCGTAAATATATGGGTGATATCTACCCCAAACGGTTGACCACCGATCGCAAGCTTGCAACGCGTGGGAGCCACATGGTTGACGCCTGTAGAGCTAGTTCAATTGATTTTGTGCTGCGAAGCAAAAGAAGAGTGAACAAACATGAAATGATAATTCAATGCGTTCTGTATATGGTTTAATTAGCGTTCATTTAGGGAGCCTAATGAAATGTTTAGCAGTTATATGCGTCTGTCAGACAAATGAGGCAACAATACTGACAATAGAAGGTGGTCGCGGCCTGGTACTCATGTCAAAACACAGCTAAAATTTTGGCCAGAAAGCTTTCAATCATACTCTTGCGGAGGTGGCATAAGAGGCTGGCAATAGATGAAAAGCCAACGTTTTTCCTAAAATGCAGGGTTACGCGCGCATACGAAAGATATAGGTGAAGAACTTATTCAAGAAAAGTGTGTACCTTCGTCCCACGTGGAAAAGCAAACCATGTAAGTCATATGGAAGGAGAAAGGAGATGATTGCCCATGGCACCAACTCATGCCTGAGGCATGCATTTCCCAGAGTTGATTTTTTACTGTGATGTGATGCAAGGGGACAAATTCTTAAATTGGTGTCGTAGCATGCGTCCCATCCGCCTCACTTGCTGATACGCGTGATGCTGATCCGTAAATATGCAGCAGAGCAGACACGCGATCAGTTCGCAATCAGTTTTACGGGGACAACTGGTGTAGGACAGCGCCCGCCAACTGCGGACGGGAGCAGGACGCAGACAAGGAGCATTCGAAAGGGCCTTCATTCCGTGGCTGTTTTTTACGGGGAAATCCTGGTTTATGACTGTTGTCACGTTGTATGACAAATAAAATCTTCAGCAATTGAGTTTATTTTTGTCAAAAATGCAACGACATAAACTCATGTCTTGTGTGACATTCGACGAAATGGTACGTTCTCGTGGCACATGAAAACTCTAGCAAACTATTAGTCATTGATCCGAACTCAAAATTCTGACCAGGCTCTGTCCAGGCGGTATTCTGACATCTAAACACTGAAGACAGATTCCTTCCGAATGGCCCCCACTGTCTACCCGCTCGAGAAATTTCGCCTCCCCAGGGGAGACAATGTTGAGGCGGGCAAATAATTTTTAGAAGTTGGGTAGTCTTATTTACCAAGTGGTATAGAGAAGTCAACTAGATAGCATTATTTACTAGTGGGAAACAATGGTAGGTGTATATCGAGCATAGTAACCATGACATTTTATTATTACGAAAATATGCTATGCGAATTACGCGCGGACAAAGACCTCTATCGCCATTCTCCTTCCCACCCGTCTCCCCGTCCCACCCGTCTCCAAACTTGCCTCCACGTCAAAGCTCCTAAAGTACAACCTAGCCCGCCCCCCCCCCCCCTCAACACTTCTTAAACGTTCCTACGCTTACGCGGGTGTCCTATGGCTTACCTCGTCCCCGTCCCCGCCCCCACAACCAAAAGTGATGATAAGCAGAATGGAATTACAATCCACAGCGCTCCTTTCATACATAATTATGAATAAAAACAAAGATCATTACCATCGAGAACGATCGATAGTTTTGTTATACCTTTTGAGACATGCAACAATGAGCGTTCAGTCTCAGACAACATACAAATCAGTGTGTGCTTGTTCTTTGGCGAAGAAAAAACTGTTTACAGTTGAATGTGGAAGCTGTTTATTCAGAAAAAAACAGACAATTTTCGCGTTTTAGTAGCCCTCTTCTTCTTCGGCTTCCCCTTCGACAGAGTCCATGCCGACCTCCTCGAAATCCTTCTCCAGCGCAGCCAGATCTTCGCGAGCCTCGGAGAACTCGCCCTCTTCCATGCCCTCGCCGACGTACCAGTGGACAAACGCGCGCTTGGAGTACATCAGGTCAAACTTGTGGTCGAGCCGGGCCCATGCCTCGGCAATGGCGGTGGTGTTGGAGAGCATGCACAACGCCCGTTGGACCTTGGCCAGGTCCCCGCCCGGCACCACTGTCGGCGGCTGATAGTTGATGCCCACCTTGAAGCCAGTGGGGCACCAGTCGACGAACTGGATAGTCCGCTTGGTCTTGATAGTGGCAATGGCGGCGTTGACGTCCTTTGGCACAACATCGCCGCGGTATAGCATGCAGCAGGCCATGTACTTGCCGTGGCGCGGGTCGCACTTGACCATCTGGTTTGCCGGCTCGAAGCAGGCGTTGGTTATCTCGGCGACGGACAGTTGCTCGTGGTAGGCCTTCTCGGCGGAGATGACCGGCGCGTAAGTGACCAGCGGGAAGTGGATGCGTGGGTACGGCACCAGGTTCGTTTGGAACTCGGTCAGGTCGACGTTGAGGGCGCCGTCGAAGCGGAGCGAGGCGGTGATGGAGGAGACGATCTGACCAATCAGGCGGTTGAGGTTGGTGTAGGTGGGACGTTCAATGTCCAGATTCCTCCGGCATATGTCGTAGATGGCCTCGTTGTCAACCATGAAGGCGCAGTCCGAGTGCTCCAATGTGGTGTGAGTGGTCAGGATGGAGTTGTAAGGCTCAACGACGGCTGTGGAAATCTGAGGAGCGGGATATACAGCAAACTCCAACTTAGATTTCTTGCCGTAATCAACGCTCAAACGCTCCATCAGCAGTGAGGTGAAGCCGGAACCAGTGCCTCCTCCGAAACAGTGGAAGATGAGGAAACCCTGCAGGCCGGTGCACTGGTCCGCAAGCTTCCTCACCCTATCCAAAACCAAATCGATGATCTCCTTGCCGATGGTGTAGTGGCCGCGAGCATAGTTGTTGGCCGCGTCTTCCTTGCCAGTGATCAGCTGCTCCGGATGAAACAGCTGGCGGTACGTGCCCGACCGCACTTCATCCACAACGGTCGGCTCTAGATCGACAAAGACTGCTCGGGGCACGTGTTTCCCAGCACCCGTCTCGCTGAAGAAGGTGTTGAAGCTGTCATCGCCACCGCCGACGGTTTTGTCTGACGGCATCTGGCCATCGGGCTGAATGCCATGCTCCAAGCAATACAACTCCCAGCAGGCGTTGCCAATCTGGACGCCAGCCTGGCCGACGTGCACGGAGATGCACTCACGCATTGTTGAGGGTGCTACAACTTCGTTTACAGAGAAGAATGGATCTCGATTTAGAGGGAAGACGCGTTACGGAGTCTTCGCTCCAGAATGCGATTTGGGGAAACAAGCGTCAAAGGAGAGAAGGAACTGAAAATGGCTTTGGCGTTGGTCGAGCTAAAAAAGCTCGGTGTCTTGATTTTTAGAAGTGGTCTCGTGATCGGATGCCGAGATTTTGATTGGTTGAGATTTCCCGCCCTACCGGGATTATGTCTGGGATGGCTTATATCCTTCATTATACTACAGTTGAAACCTTCCTATAAAGATGTGACATGTCTGTGAGCAACAAATGCCAAGTTTGTCCAGGTTATGAGAGTGGCAGCAGCCTTATTCCTCGGAGAAAAACCAGGACAACGGAGATACAGATGGGTTGGTATTTCGTCAAGATGCCTTTACCGAAACAGTGCCAGAATAACTCTGCTGTTATTAATATATCTATAGGCATATAAGGGCACATTGCCGAAATATCAACCCATCTATATCTCCATTCTCCTGGTTTTTCTCCGAGGAATAAGGCTCTTACTACTGCCTTGTGTATATGAATGATGTCCATCACGAATGCACTGAACAACCGATTACCAGATTTTCCAAATATCAGTTCTTTTGCTGAAAACTGACCTTCTTTACACCAGGAGGCTCTCGTCAAACAAGGATATCAAGCCATCTTTGGACGGTGATCAAAGATATTAAACATTTTACTCCAATTTAATATTAAACTCCAGTAAGTCCATACGATTGCTTGATATCGTTGTTTCACCAGAACATCCCCGTGAATTTAATGCCGTATATCTTTATCTAAGAGTTTGACGGCGGGTTATTTGAGGACATGACAGCAACAATAATTTACAATGGCTCTTAATAATTGTGGGCTGGGTTTGCTGGGTCATTTTACCAGTTCTACGCCAAGTAGTGGTATCATTTGTGTCATGTGTTTGTTCAAACGTTTTGCCGGCATTTCAGTTGATCGGAAGCAGGAACGACGTTTTATGCGCAGTAACGCATGACATAACACAAATATGTGAGCGCGAGGTATGCACCTAGTTCATTTGCAGTTGCGACAAAAACATCCCTTTGTGGTAGAGTGATCACAAGTACCCACGGGCCCGTATCAGAACAGGACCCTAAGGCTGCCATCGGATTGCGTTTGGAAATGTGCGAAAAGCATCGAAGCCAGTAAATCACAGGAAGAATTAAAAAAGCTGGCTTACGTCAGGTTATTATGCATTGAGCACGTTTGGGAACTAAATGCTGATTAGTGACATACACACTCATATACAAACAGCCAGACATTGATTCCTGACAGCATTTATCCGCTCTGATCATTACGTGAATCCAATCGAAGAAAGCGAAGCGTATCGAACCGAGAGCATTGCACGTGGTGAAAGGAACGCCATGAGCCACGGAGGTGGCCTGAAATTAGATTCGCTTACTTATCGACCCTAAGCCTGCAAACAGCTAGAAGTGATTGTGTGTGTGTGTGTGTGTGTGTGTGTGTGTGGTGTGTGTGTGTGTGTGTGTGTGTGTGTGTGTGTGTGTGTGTGTGTGTGTGTGTGTGTGTGTGGTGTGTGTGTGTGTGTGTGGTGTGTGTGTGTGTGTGTGTGTGTGTTGTGTGTGTGTGTGTGTTGTGTGTGTGTGTGTGTCGTTGTGTGTGTGTGTGTGTGTGTGTGTACAGTCCACAAAATTTACCAACATGTCAAATAACTCCTGTCCCCGAGCATGATTCCCGTTCATAGTGCACATAATTTAGTTTCCAGACTCATGCCAAATTTGTGTTGAGAACGGAGATGAATACAATGCCGCTGTCCACGTCAACGTGCTCACCAAACGTCCCCCTGACGATTATGTCGGCAGCCTTATTCATGACCTTGGCATGGTAAGCGATTAGAGAGCATCCAGGCAGAAGTGCAATCACTTCAGTTTCTAACTCCAGCAAGTGCCAGCGCAGCCCATTTGTATTCAGGATTGGCAGGAGGCCCCAGCACTTGAACTACTCCACGTGCTCGGGGAGCGGGCAGTGGCAGCTGCAGTCAGGCTAGTGGTTATTTTGTGCAATACGTCCAGGTGCCTACGCAGAATTTCATTAATAGGGGAAGGGGGGGGGGGGGGGGCGTAACTACGTGACCGGTCAATATGGCATTGTTTTGGTCCAGCTTATTCTGTCGAGTACATATCTATGCATGCTATAAATTTGGTAATTGGGGAAGGAAGCCCGTACTCCCGGGGCTACCGTACATACACGACCATGAATACGTTCGCTTTGTTGAGGGATGCGTGGTGCCCCATGCTACGCATTACCATGCTACGCATAACAAAATGCTACGCATTACCATGCGTACCATTTTGTCTGTGTGATGTCTTCGTCCAGCGGTTCGGCTCAGCTCGGTCAGAGAGAGACGTGCAGAGACGCGGCGATCTATATTGGACTGAGTCCAGTGGCGTCCTGCCGCTGCTATCTCATGCAGGCACGACATAACATTTAGTTCGGGTGAACTACCACTCATAAGTCAGCTTGCATGCACGCACCTATCACGCGTCCCGTATGGTCCGCCACGGGACGGCGGCCAGCGCCCGCGGCGATAGGTCGCATTCCACCGCGCGGCCGAGGCCGCGCCGCGACACGGCATGGACGACATGCTGTGCCGCCGGGCCGGCTGGGCGTGCTCACAACAGTCTGGTACCCCAGTAATGGCGCACCAGTGGATACACTAGGACTCAGAAATCATGGCTCCAACCATGAACCTGCGTCCAGGTTCCAGGCCCTCGCCGCGGGGTCCGCACTGTTGAACGTACGGTGGACTAATCCACCACATCGTACAGTATTGGCAAGTGTTAATGATTAACATTCAACAGCATTGCCAAAAAGCGCATTGGGCGCCGGAATGGAGGACAGGGCACGTGGTTAGTTCAGCATGCACTAGTGTCACGTCGTTCGCTGCTCTAGGATTTCGCCTGCAACATCACGGTCTGCTTGCATTTTATTGATTCATACACAAACTCAGCAATGTGAGGGTGCTGGGCCGAATCAGTTTTGTCCCCCAACTTTTCTGCGGAGGATTCCCTTATCATCCTTGACACTTGGCAGGACCGTACGCAGCCTTGCGCCAACAACATTTACCCAGCAAAAATGGATCTGATGCATTTTATGAGTGGGTCCTGATTTTCAACTACTGTGCAATAGTGAAACTCGCTATCGTGCATTAGAGGCCACTTGAAGACGAATCACATGGCTATGAAAATTATAATCCTGGAAATCTGTGGCGATCAAACTGGAGAAGACGACAGAAAAGGGCATGGCAATTAACTGTGATTAGAAATTCCATCTTTGACATCATTTCATATGAACTCTGTGACGTTGCGTGCAAGGGAGAGAGACAAACGTCGTGTCCGTCAGAAAGTCCTCTGGGGGTCGGCTTCAGAGGAGCCACCGTCACTGGAAAACGGATAGCTGCCTGTTGAGGGAAGCGAAACCGCGAGCGTGGAGGGCTGTTGAGCCAAGCTCAGCAGGCGGCCGCAGCCCTCACAACCGCAGCCTGTTGCGCCAGCGGTCGACCGTCAAAAAAAGGCTCGCAGAAGCGCAGCCAAACGGGGTGGGACAGCCCCTCTCCCTTAGACACGGAATTTATCGTCATAGATTCCTCCCGACAACAGTCAGAACTTGGTGCGATGCGTACTCACCAACCAAGCCCCGACCATCCCTATCCCTCCCTCAGATGGTGTGTACCATATTTGTGTGAGGTTTTTCAAATGAAATAGCTGCTTTGAAGATCATTACGATGCAGTTCACAGCCTTGCTCTTACTGCGACCCTAAAACTTTTAATCTAAATGCCAACAAGGGTGTGCATACTGTTTTGTGCTCGCTATTTCAGTATCATTTTGGCATGCATAGCGCCATAGAACTGCCCACTCAGATCCTGCCACCCCATTGGCCATCCATGGCCCAAAGCCAACAAGACTACAATCGGCGTTCGTAAGCACAAGCTCTTCATATCTGACGTTTGTAAGCACGATTTCCAGGCATAACGGCTAATAATCGGCTCTCAACCAACATTGTGCAAGCTGTGAAGAGCCAATGACGAATCGCATTTTATGCTGCCCTAATGCATAGGGTCGGACATCTTTAAAATTTACTACGAAAATAAGATTCGTGACCAGATGCCTTAAAGGAATTATTCCACATTTGAAGACATTGAAGTAAACATCAGACATGGTAAAATATGCTGCGTTATAACTATTTGTATAGTTTTCACTGAAAAGCTGATTTAGACAGCACAATTTTCTTTATTTAGTGAATTACCCATAAACACGGTTATTTATTGCATCATGTACCTGGCGCAGCATTATTTGAGAGTCAATTGACGACTGTTATTTTCTGGAACTTGTGCTCACGAACCCCAGATACGAACAACAAAACAATCATATACTTTCTTGGCCCTCGATCAGTAGCGCATGCCGGGGGGGGGGGTACAGGAGGCCACGTGCCCCCCCCCCCCCCTTAGGCTCCGAGGGGCCCGAAAGACCCCTCGGAACCTACGACCAAGGGTCCGATTTTGAAGGCCCCGAGAGACCCACTCAGCCGAACGGGACCGGCCGAAGTCCCATCCAGGGGCTCGACCGCAAGGCCGGGTACTCCAATGCCAGCCACAGGCCCTGCGTGCTGATCAGGGGCCCGCTAAGCGATAAGGGTCTTTGTTTCAGTCCGATACCACCAATAACGCACAGTCGGCTTAGTGGCGGAATGAGGATGATGGCCTCATTTCCCCAAGCAGGGACAGGGCGGGAGCCAGCGATTTATATTGCTCAGAACGCCATAGTGCCTAACAGGGACTATGTGTAGCAGTGCTCGAAAAGACCCCAACGTCCAGAGGCCCCGCCGGATCCGACGACGTGATTGGAGGGTCTGAGAGCAAAAATGGATGTTCAGCACTTTATTCAGGGGCCCCGGCCGTGCAAAGGCGGACCCTCAAATAACGTTCAGAGAGCCTTTTGCGTCGATCGGGGAACCCACCGAATCGATATAATATCGATATAAACAGTCGGCTCAGTTAGGGTATGGGCCTGGGGACCCTACCTGCCGATCAGC